CCATGAAAGAAAAGCCCAGGACCTGATGGCTTCACTGCTGAATTCTACTAAACATTTAAAGAACTAATACCAATATTACTCTGACTCTTCAAAAAAAGTGATGAGGGTATACATCTAAACTCAATCTATGAGGCCAGAATCACCCTGATATCAAAACAAGATAAGGACACAATGAAGAGAGAAAAATACTGGCCAATATTACTGATTAACCTATGCAAAAATTCTCAACAATATACTAGCAAAGAGAATTCAATATCACATTAAAAAAATCATATAACATGATCAAGAGAAATTTATCCCAGGGATGCAAGAATGGTTCAACATACACGAATCAATAAATGTGATACATCATATTAACAGAACCAAGAACAAAAACCAAATAATTATTTCAATAGATGCCAAAAACGTATTTGATAAAACATCCTGTATGATAAAAATGTTTATCAAACTTGATATAGAAGGAACATAACTCAAAAATAGTAGAGACCATATATGTGAAACCCAAAGCTAACATCAAACTGAATAAGAAAAAATAAAAGGCCTTTCCCCTATGACCGGAAACAAGATAAGGATACTCATTTTCACAACTATTATTTAATATGGCACTGGAAGTCCTGGAGAGATTAACTGGAAAGAAAAAGAACTAAAGGGCATGTAAGTTGAAAAGGAAAAAGTCAAATTAGCCTTGTTCAAAGAAGACATAATCTTATGTTTAGAAAAACTTAAAGAACCTACACTGAAACTGCTAGAACTGATAAATGAATTCAGTAAAGTTGCAGGATATAAAATCAGCATAAAAAATCAGTAGCAGTTATATATACCAACAACAAGCAATCTGAAAAAAATAAAGTCAGCAATGCTATTTACAATAGCTACAAAGAATTAAAATACATAGGTATCAATTTAACCAAAAGAGTAAATGATAAATACAAGGAAAGCTATAAAACACTGATGGAATAAATAGAACACAAAAACATGGGAAATTATTTCATGCTCATGGATTGAAATAATTAATATGGTTAAAGTGACAATACTACCCAAGGCAATTTACAGATTCAATGCAACCCCTATCAAAATACCAATAACAGTATGCACACAAATAAAAATTATAATCCTAAAATTTATATGGAATCACAAAAGATGAAGAATAGTCAAAGCAATCCCAAACAAAAAGAACAAAGCTGGAGACACCATGCTACCTGACTTCAAAATGTATTGCAAAGCTGTACTAACCAAATCAGCATGGTACTGGCATAAAAGTAGACACATAGACAAATGGAACAGAATAGACAATCCAGTTATAAATCTATGCACTTACAGTCAATTCATCTTGGACAAAGCTACCAAGAGCATACAATGGGGAAAGGATAGTCTCTAACATAAATGATACTAGAAAAACTGGGTAACTAGATGAAGAAGAATAAAGCTAGATCCCTATATCTCACCATATACAAAAATCTGATCAAAATGGATTAAAGACTTAAATCTAAAACCTCAAACTATGAAACTACTAGAAGAAAACATTGGGGAAATACTCCAGGACATTGGTCTAGGCAAATATTTTTATAAGAACTCAAAAGCACAGGCAACCAAAGTAAGAACAGACAAATGAGATTGCATCAAACTGAAAAGCTTCTGCACAGCAAAGAAAACAATCAAAAAGTGAAGAGAAAACCCACAGAATAGGAGAAAATATTTGCAGACTATCCAACAAAGGATTAATATATAAGAATATATAAGGAACTCAAACAACTCAATAGGAAAAAAAAACTAATGATTTGATTTTAAAATGGGCAAAAGATATGAACAGACATTTCCCAAAAGAAGATATACAAATGGTAAACAAGAACATAAAAAGATGTTCAACCTCACTAATCACCAGAGAAATGCATGTCAAAACTACAATGAAATATCATCTTATCACAGTTAAAATGGCATTTATTAAAAAGGCAATAATGAATGTTGACAAGGAAGTGGAGAAAGAGGAACGCTTGTACACTGTTGATGGAAATGTAAGTTAGTACACCCATTATGGAGAACAGTATGAAGTTCCCTCAAAAAGCTAAAAATATAATTGCCATAAGATCCAGTAATTCCACTACTGTGAATATAGCCAAAAGAAAGGAAACCAATACATTGAAAAGACATCTGCACTCCCACGTTTACTGCAGCACTACTTAAAACAACTAAAATACAGAATCAATCTAAGCGCCATCAATGGACAATAAGATAAAGAAAATGTTGTATACATACACCAAGGAGTATTATTCAGCTGTAAAAAAGAAACACTGCATGTTCTAACTCATACATGGAAGCTAAAAGAGTGAATCTCCTGAAGATAGAGAATAAATTAGTGGTTACAGAGACCAGGAGAAATAAGCGGGAGGGAGGGATGAAGAGAAGTTGATCAATGGTGTATTAGTCAATTCTCATGCTGCTAACATAGACATACCTGAGACTAGGTAATTTACAAAGGAAAGAGGTTTAATTCACTCACTGTTCAGCATTGCTGAGGAGGCCACAGGAGACTTACAATCATGGTGGAAGTGGAAGCAAATACATCCTTCTTCACATGGTGGCAGGACAGAGAAGAGCTGAGTAAAAGGGGTAAAAGTTCCTTATAAAATCATCAGATCTCATGAGAACTCACTATCATAAGAACAGCATGAGAGTAACTCTCCCCATAATTTAATTACCTCCTACTGGGTCCCTTCTACAACCCATGGGGGTCATGGAAATTATAATTCAATATGAGATTTGGGTAGAGGGCACAGCCAAACCATATTATTCTGCCCTGACTCTCCTAAACCTCATGATCTCACATTTGAAAACACAGTCATGCCCTACCAACAGTCCCTGAAGTCTTAATTCATTCCAGCATTAACTCAAAATTCCAAGTCTAAAGTCTCATCTGAGACAAGACAAGTCCCTTCCACCTATGAGCCTGTAATATCAAAGGCAAGTTAGTTACTTCCTAGATACAATGTGGGGATAGGCATTGGGTAAATACACCCATTTCAAATAGGAGAAGCTGGCCAAAGAAAGGGGCTAGAGGCCTCAGGCAAGTCTGAAATCCACCAGGGCAGTCATTAAACCTTAAAGTTCCAAAGTGATATCTCCTTTAAGATCTCCTTTGAGATCAAAGTTGTATCACATCCAGTTCATGCCGATGCAAGAGGTGGGCTCCCACAGATTGGGCAGCTCTGTCCCTGTGGCTTTGCAGAGTACAGTCCCCCTCCTGGCTGCCTTCATGACTGGCATTGATTGTCTCCACCCTTCAGACCCCAGAAGGGTAAAGTACCATTCTGGGGTCTGAAGGGTGGTGGCTGTCTTTCTCACAGCTCCACCAGGCAGTGCTCCAGTGGGGATTTTGTGTGGGGAGTCCACCCCCATATTTCCCTTCCACATTGCCCTAGAAGAGGCTCTCCATGAGGGCTCCACCCCTATGCAAATTTCTGCCTAGATATCCAGGTGTTTCCATACATCCTCTGAAATCTAGGCAGAAGTTCCCAAACCTCAATTCTTGACTTCTGTACACCCGCAGGCCCAACACCATGTGTAAGCTGCCAAAGCTAGGGGCTTGCACCCTCTGAAGCAAAAGCCTGAGATATACATTGGGCCCCTTTAGCCACGGCTGGAGATGAAGCAGTTGGGATGCAGGGTACCATGTCATCCTCAATGTCCTGAGGCTACATTGAGCAGGGGGAACCTGGGCCAAGCCCAAGGAACCATTTTCCCCTCCTAGGCCTCCAGGCCTGTGATGGGAAGGGCTGCCGTAAGAGTGTCTGACATGCCCTGGAGACACTTTCCCCATTGGGAACACATGAGGATTATGGAAACTACTTTCAGGATGAGATTTTGGTGGGGACACAGTCAAACCATATCAAGGGTACAAATACACAGTTTGATAGAATAAATGAGACCTAGTGTTTGATAAATCAATAGGGTGACTATAGTTTATAATAACGTATTACACGACTTCTTGTCTTCTAGCTATTTGTCATCTAAAACTATTGTAAACCATAGAATGGTTTCAGTATAAAGAAAATACAAATATTTAAGGTGATGTATATCTCAAGTATACTGCTTTGATTACCTTAAATTATATGAATGTATTAAAATGTTATATGTACCCAAAACTACATACATCTATTCAGTTAAAAAAAGCAAAAGGACAAAAAAAGATATATCATTGCAGACACTTATCAGAAGGACCCTGAAATGGATTTATCAATATTGTTTAAAGTAGGCTTCTGAGCAAAGAAAATTACAGAATAAGAAGAAACTTACATAATAATATAAGGGGCATTTCATCAAGAAAATATAATAATTCTGAATGTATATGCATCTAACAGTGTTTGCAAATACAGGAAGCCAAAAATAATAGAACTGAGGAAAAATAGAAAAATTCACAATATAGTTGGAGACTTAAACACTCCTCCCTCAATAATAAAAAGAAGACAAAAAATGGCAAGGATAGAGATAAGTGAACATCACCATCAACCAACTGAAATACTGCAGAGCTGCACATCCCCAAACAGCACAAAATACATTCTTTTAAACTGCAGATGGAACATTCACCACCATAGACCATGTTCTGAGTCACAAAACTTGATTTTATAAGAATTGAAAGCATGCAAAGTATGATCTGACAATAATAAAATCAACATAGAGAAATGCTAGGTTCTGAGGATGTGAAAAGATACAATCTATATTCCCAAGAAACATGGAGTCTAACTGGAGACATATTTAATCATTAAATTCTGTACTACGTGCCATATGCTATACACAAAATACAACACAACATGGAAAGTGCTCTGATACAACAAATAAATTTCTCTGATTTCATTCGGAGTGTCCAGGTTGGTTTCACAGAGGAAGTAACATCTAATCTAGACTTTCAGTAAGAGAAATGATACTTTTATTTAAAATAAGACACCAATGGAATTGTGGAGATGTTTTTATTTTTAAGTTAGAATTTCCTATAAACACAGAAAACACACAGTAATTTCAAACATAGACTAACTTTCAAATCTCTTCAAAGGTAGTTGGCATAAAAGAGAAGAAAACTGAAAACAAGAGATGACTTTAAAAGTCCTGGTAAATGTTTTGGCAAAAAAGTAGCTTGCAAGGCAGGCCTCCCAGTGAGGAAGAAAGAACAATTTTATTCATTCAATATCAAAATCATAAATTGTGGATTCAGAAAAAAGAAAAAGAAATACAAGTAATAATAAAGGTAGCTACAGACATCACATTATTTTGCATTTAGACATATATCATAATTGCAGTTTATCTAAGTGAGGTGACATAAACTGCTTAAATTTATCACTAAAATCAAGCAGACAATGAAATCAATTATCTCTAATAATATGCTTAATGGTTATTCTGCTTCACGGTAACTAGCCAGAAATATTAGCCATATGTATGAAGATTTATAACATTTCTTTTACCAAATAAAAGTATTTCTAAATCCACTTAATAAAAGGAAAGGGGAGAGTAAGAGAGCAGAAAGCTTATTTATATCCCTCCTAAAAATTCCATTATCAATTCAAAGCAGGTCTTTCAATTCTTTATCAGTAAATGTTGTGGACCTCTAGGATTATCATCGCCATTACCACCAACTGTTATTATTAGCAGTTACAATCTAACGTATACTCCATTAGTCTGTGTGATAGTTAATACTGAGTGTCAACTTGATGGGCTTGAAGGATGCAAAGTATTGATCCTGGTGTGTCTGTGAGAATCCTACCAAAGGAGATTAACATTTGAGTCAGTGGACTGGAAAAGGCAGATCCACCCTTAATCTGGGTGGACACCATCCAATCAGCTGCCTGCTCAGCCAGGATATAAAGCAGGCAGAAAAACATGAAAAGGCCTCAGCCTACATCTTTCTTCCATGCTGGATGCTTTCTTCCCTTGGATGTCAAACTCTAAGTTCTTCAGCTTCGGGAGTCAGACTGGCTTCCTTGCTCCTTAGCTTGCAGACAGACTATTGTGGGACCTTGTAATTATGTGAGTTAATGTGATTTGATAAACTCCCCTTTATATATGTATACCCACCCTATTAGTTCCATCGCTCTAGAGAAACCTGACTAATACAGTCTATTTGGGTTGACGTAACAAAATACCAAAGACTGCATAGCTTAAATGACAGGATTTATTTTGTCACTGTTCTGCAGGCTGGAAATCCGAGGTCAAGGTACCAGAGTTGATTTCTGATGAGGCCTCCCTTCCTGGCTTGCAGATGGCTGCCTTCTTGCTGTGCCGTCACAGTCTTTCCTCTGTGCTCATACGTATATAGAGGAAGGAAGAGAGCGAGAAACAGAGAGAGAAAATCTTGATATTTCCTCTTTTTATAAGGAAAGCAGTCATATTTGATTAGGCTCCATCCTTATAACCTCCATCAATCTTATTACCTCCTTAAAGGCCCTACCTCCAAATATAGTCAAACTGGGGGTTAAGGCTTCAACATATAAACTGGATAGGGAGCACACAATTCAGTTCATAATAAACACTTACCACATATCAGGTATTATGCCAACTTTAGTATCTAAATGTACTCCCACATCAACCTTGCTAGATATAACTAATCTACTTTGATAAGAAGTAAATGGTCATACAAAGAATTTAAATAACTAGTCTAGTCACATGAAAAGTAAAGTAGAGAAAATATTGTAAAATACGTTTCAACTTTCAGTAAAAACTTGGTGGCAACTAAGTTATGAAATATTCCACTTCTCTAGAAAGCCATAAGGAAATAAGGATCATTAGGGAAAAAATGCACATTCAGTGGTCAACAAAGGTAGAAGTCCAAGCCATCAATTTTGTGTAAATGCTTCCCAAAGCACAATTGTTAGCAACACCTTGCAGAAAACTGAAACGAGATGAGATAAAACTCAAAGGGAAGGAGGGGACAATGGGAGAACACTGTGACAACTATCAGCATATAAACATATCCACAAGAGGACCACACTCTGAATGGGAAGTGCTATACGTGAGGCTGGGCTGGGGAGCACACTTGGAAGCAGAGAAAGAGAGCTCAGAAGTTACCCAGGGAAAGAAGATAATAACATCATTTTAAAAATCTTCTATATGTAAGGGAGATTCTCCGGAAGGCAGGATCTGTTTCCTGGTGACATAGGTAGACTAGAACCTGAAGAAGTTTACGTATGGCAGTGGAACCTCCTCTGAACCAGGATAGATTCAAATAGTAGAGAAAGTGAAATAACACCTTAGCTCTGTCTCTGTAACAGAGGTGACAGCCTTTGAGTTACAGAGGTGCCAGGTTAGTCTTTCCTCTTTCCCCAACATGAGATTCTTGTAAAGAGCTGGTTCATAAAAATAAAATTAAATCAAGTGCGAGAAACAAAAAGAATAACCACCACATCCATTTAACAATTTTGTGTTTTAAAAATGGAAAGAATTTATCAGGGGAAAGCAAGTCAAAACCATAATAAACACCACTTCACTATAGTTAGAATGGTTATTATCAAAAAGGCA